ATAAGACCTAACATGATGAAAAATCCAGAAGAAAACCAAGGCAGTACCATTCAGGACATAGGCATGGGCAAGGATTTCCTGACTAAAACATAAAATGCAATGGAAGCAAAAGCCAAAATAGACAAATGGGATCTAACTAAACTAAAGAGCTTCTGCACAGTAAAATAAACTATCATTAGAGTGAACTGGCAACCAATAGACTCGGAAAAAAATTTTGAAATCTACCCATCTGACAGAGGGCTAATATGCAGATTCTATAAAGAACTTAAACAAAGTTACAAGAAAAAAAAAAACCTCATCAAAAAGTGAGTGAAGGATATGAACAGACACTTTTCAAAAGAAGACATTTATGCAGCCAACAAACATATGGAAAAAGCTCATCATCACTGATCATTAGAGAAATGCAAATCAAAACCACATTGCGATACCATCTCATGCCAGTTAGAATGGCGATCATTAGAAAATCAGGAAACAACATATGCTGGAGAAGATGTGGAGGTATAGGCATGCTTTTACACTGTTGGTGAGAATGTAAATTAGTTCAACCACTGTGGGAGACAGTGTGGCGATTCCTCAAGGACCTAGAAATAGAAATTCCATTTGACCCAGCAATCCCATTACTGGGTATATACCCAAAGGATTACAAACCATTCTATTATAAAGACACATGAACATGTATGTTTATTGTGACATTGTTCACAATAGCAAAGGCTTGGAACCAACTCAAATGCCCATCAATGATAGACTGGATAAAGAAAATGTGGCACATACATACCATGGAATACTATGCAGCCATAAAAAATGATGAGTTCATGTCCTTTGCAGGGACATGGATGAAGCTGGAAACCATCACTCTCAGCAAACTGACACAAGAACAGAAAGCCAATCACCATATATTCTCACTCATAAGTGGATGTTGAACAATGAGAACACATGGACACAGGGAGGGGAACATCACACACTGGGGCTTGTCAGGATGTGGGGAACTAGGGGAGGGATAGCAGAGGGTGGGGGGATTTGAGAGGGGTAGCATTAGGGGAAATACCTAATGCACATGACAGGATGATGAATGCAGCAAACCACCATGGCACGTGTATACCTATGCAACAAGCCTGCACATCTGCACGTGTACTCCAGAACTTAAAGTATAATAAATAAATTAAAAAGAAAAGAAAATGAACAAAAAAAGCTGAAACTTTAAAAAGGAAAAAAAAAATGCTCCAATGCTCCTCCATAACCAATTTGGAGAGTGTGTCTCAGAAGAGACAGAAGATAACCCTAATACTGTGCTGTGATGTGTTTAGCAGTGTAAGACTTGTGAGTTGTATTTTGTCTTATTCCCTGTCCTTCCACATCATGTATAACAAAACACTGCCTCCACAGGCAATCAGATGGTAGAAAACATGAAAACTCCCCTGCTTTCCCTGTTATATGAGGTGCTAGAAAGAAACTCTGGAGAAAAACTTTGAGACTCTAATGACCGTTTTTGGATGATCTGAATAACCCAACAGATGTCTCACCAGATTTAGGTGACCATGATTATACAGGCCTAAATGTTTCTTGTCCAAAAGAAGAAACATTTAGGCCTGTATAATCATGGTCAACATTTTCAATACGTGGTGTTGCAAATCCTGCTGAAAGCTTCGAGTCCCAATTATCCAGGGAAACTAGCTATTCCCTTTACTCTTTCTCAACCCTGTTGCCAATCTATTGAAGAGTCTACTAAAATTGACCCATCTGTTTCAATTTATTTTCAGATCCTCCTCCCAATTCAGTTTCCTTCTGGAAAATACACAGGACTCCACTACACTACCTTTGACTGTCTAGCATATTTCCCCTGTCTCTTAGTCTCTGTCCTTTAAAAATTGTAGTTAAAATTGTTCCTGGTACCAAAACAAGGTTTCAAGCCTGGGATGAAATACAGACCATATAAAAAAGATTAGGAATACATCAAAGTTGAAGGGGATTTTTTAAAAGTTTTAAATCAACATTCTTCCAATACCTTATTTGAGTCTAGAACCAAAATTTCTGTTAAATACCATATGTTATAGCAGTTTACTAAATAATTAGCAAACCCATGTAGGTTTGTTTTGCTTCTAGCAAATGAGTTATATCATTCCAAGGTTTCTTGGGACAGTTAGATCTGTTTTTGGAAAGCAATATTTAACCATGTTTAGTGGCTCACACTTGTAATCCAAGCTACTTGGGAGGCTGAGGCAGGAGAATCTCTTGAGCCCAGGAGCTCAAGACCAGGCTGGGCAATATAAGAATACCCCTACCTCAAAAAAAGAAGAAATAAAGAAAAACATGTTTTTTTGTTAATATCATCACATGTCACTTAACAACAGGGATACGTTCTGAAAAATGCATTCTTAGGCTATTTTGTCATTGAACATCATAGAATACACTTATTTAATGGAGGGATAATTTTATTTATTTTTATCTTTATTTTTATTTATTTATTTATTTTTATTTTTTTTTTTTTTTGAGATGGAGTCTCGCTCTGTCACCCAAGCTGGAGTGCAGTGGCACAATCTCGGCTCACTGCAACTTCCGCCTTCCAGGTTCAAGCAATTCTCCTGCCTCAGCTTCAGAGTAGCTGGGATTACACGCACCCACCACTATGCCCAGCTAATTTTTGTATTTTTAGTAGAGAAAGAGGTTCACCATCTTGGCCAGGTTGGTCTTGAACTCCTGACCTTGTGATCCACCCACTTCGGCTTCCCAAAGTGCTAGGATTACAGGCGTGAGCCACAGCACCCAGCCAAGGGAGAATTTTAAAATGTGCAAGATTTTAAGTTTTTAAAATGAATACAAGGTATAGATTATCATGGCAGATGGGAGGCAGGACTAGATTGCCACTCAGACTGAGACAGACAGAGCAGTGTGCAGAGGCTCACATTGTGAATTTTAGGTCCACATCGATTGCAAGAACAAACCAGCAATCCCAGCAGGCGCCACAGATCCCCTGAAGAAAGCAGACTGTTCCTGTAGTACCTGGGCGACACCCCAAATATTGTGAGTGACCCAAATGTGGAAGCAGGAAAGGAGGAACCTCCTTTTCCAAACACACATCCACTGGAGAAACTGAATGTCTGTTTGCAGCAGTTTCTGACCTTACCTGGAGCTGAGTCAATTTAGACAGCCAGGCAAAACACAGGGGTAGAAGAAGCAGCAGAAAGGCTCCAGGAGCTTGCTAGGTCCCCAAGGAGGCCATTCTTGCCTGGCACCACAGGAATCCATTGGGAAGGTGACCAGAGGAGCAGGGCAGGGTGGTGGAGGAAACACAACGGAGAGAAGGAAATCTCCAGCCGAACTTTCTAACAATTTGAATGGGGCAAGAAGCCTCCTGGCAAAAACTCAGGGAAGAGTGTGAATCTGGTGTGCAGGCTCCACAGGTGGAGGAAGAACAAAGCCCTTTTCTTTTATAGCTGGGAGATGGGTAGCCTGGGGCAAGTTCTCAACCCTGGCTTGCCCACCGCCTGCAAACAGATTCTGGACCATTAGAGGGGGCACGGTGGGAATGAGACCTGCTCTTCGATTTGCATGGGAGCTGGGTGAGAACTGTGACTGCAAGCTTTCCCCCACTTCCCTGACAACTTGCATGACTCAGCAAAAGCAACCATAATCCTCCTAGGTACAGAACTCCATTGACATGGGAACCTCATCCTGATCCCCCACATGGCCACAGCAGGACCAGCCCAAGGAGAGACTGAGCTCAGATGTACCTAGCCCTGCCCCACCTAATGGTCCTTCCCCACCCACCCTGGTAGCTGAAGACAAAGGGCATATAATCTTGGGAGTTCTAGGTCACCCCCCTACGCTGGTTCCCTTGCATACCACCACAGCTGATGCTCTCTGGAAAGTGCCACCTCCCAGCAGGAGGCCAACCAGCACAAAAATAGATCATTAAACCACTAAACCTAGGAACTGTCGTGCAGTTCATTGCACTGCCCTGCCACCTCCACCAGAGCAGGCACTGATATCCATGGCTGACAGACTCATAGATGGTTCACATCACAGGACTCTGTGCAGACAACCCCCAGTACCAGCCTGGAGCCAGGTAGACTTGCTGTGTGGCAAGACTCAGAAGACAGACAGAAATCACTGCAGTTTGGCTCACAGGAACTCACATCTACAGGAAAATGAGGAGAGTACTACATTAAAAACACACTCCATGGAACAAAAGAATCTGAACAACAGCATTCACCCATAGACTCTGACAGAGTCTACCCAAGGAACCAGAAAAACAACTCTGGTAATATGACCAAAGAAGACTCTTTAACACTCCCCAAAAAATCACACTAGTTCACCAGCAATGTCTCCAAACCAAGAAGAAATCCCTGATTTACCAAAAAAAAAAAAAAAAAAAAAAAATCAGGAGATTAATTATTAAGCTAATCAGAGAGGCACCAGGGAAAGGTGAAGTCCAATGCAAGGAAATCCAAAAAATAGCACAAGAATTAAAGGGAGAAATGTTCAAGGAAATAGCTTAAGGAAAAAACAATCAAAAATTCAGGAGGCACACTAACAGAAATACAAAATGGTCTGAAAAGTCTCAACGATAAAATCTAACAAGTAGAAGAAAGAAATTCAGAGCTCGAAGACAAGGTCTTCAAATTAACATGATCCAACAAAGACAAAGAAAGAAAATAAGAACAAAGCCTCCAAAAAGTCTGGGATTATGTTAAATGATCAAAACTAAGAGTAATCATTATTCCTGTGTAAGAAGAGAATTCTAAAACCTTGGAAAACATATTTGGGGAAACAATTGAGGAAAGCTTCCCTGGCCTTGCTAGAGACCAAACATCCAAAAACAAGAAGCACAAAGAACACCTGGAAAATTCATTGCAAAAATATCATCACCTAGGCACATTTTCATCAGGTTAGCTAAAGTTAAGACGAAGGAAAGAACCTAAGAGTTGTGAGACAGAAGTACCAGGTAACCTGTAAAGGAAAACCTATCAGATTAACAGCAGATTTCTACAAGTTGAAGGAAGGGGCCCTATCTTCAGTCTCCTCAAACAAAACAATAACCAGCCAAGAATTTTGTATCCAGTGAAACTAAGCAACATATATGAAGGAAAGATACAATCTTTTCCAGACAAACAAATGCTGAGAGACATTGCCACTACCAAGCCACCACTACAAGAATTCTTAAAAGGAGATCTAAATCTTGAAACCAATCCTGGAAACACATTGAAACAGAATCTCTTTAAAGCATAAATCACATAAGACCTACAAAACAAAAATACAAGTTAAAAAGCAAAAACAACACACAAAAAACCAAGGTACACAGGCAACAAAGAGCACAAGGAATGCAATGGTACCTCACATCTCAATACTAACATTGAATGTAAATGGCATAAATGCTCCACTTAAAAAATGAAAAATACAGAACTTCAGAATGGGTAAGGACTCACCAGCCAACTATCTGCTGGCTTCTAGACACTCACCTAACACATAAGGACTCACATAAACCTAAAGTAAAGGGGTAGAAAAAGGCATTTCATGCAAATGGACACCAAAAGTGAGCAGGGGTAGCTATTCTTATATCAGACAAAACAAACTTTAAAGCAACAGCAGTTAAATTAGACAAAGGGACATTGCATCGTGGTAAAGAGGCTTTGTCCAAAAGAAAACATATTACAATCTTAAACATATATGCACCTAACACTGGAGCTCCCAAATTTATGAAACAATTACTAGTAGACCTAAGAAATGAGAAAGACAGCAACACAATAATGAGGGACTGTTTTTTTTCTTTAGGTAAGTATTCACATTTATTGAGAATTTGCATATGTTACTTAATTTTCACAGTCGCAGATATCACATGTTAATATCTAAAGTAGAAAAAAGTATAAAGGGGGACAAAAAGAAAAGGAGTAAGAATACTTTTTGTATGAAATTATTGACTGCTGCCCTTATACTATTGCCAATCATCAGGCCATCCAGTCAACAGAGATGGCACCCTCATGTTTATACCTGGAAGCTGTAGGTTTCCTATGTCTGACCCCACTTCCCTTCACCCAGCCACGGGGACTTTAATACTCCACTGACAGAAGTAAACAGGTCATCAAGACAGAAAGTCAAAAAAAATTTGGATTTAAACTATACCTTGAAACAAATAGAATTAACAGTACATAAAGAACATTTCATTCAACAACTGCAGATTACACATTCTTTTCAACAGTTGATAGAACTTTCTCCAAGACAGACCATATAATAGGCCATAAAACAAGCCTCAATGAATTTAAGAAAACCGAAATTACATTAAGCATTCTCTCATATCACAGTGAAGTAAAACTGTAAATTAACTCCAAAAGGAACCTTCAAAACCGTGGAAATTAAATAACCTGATCCTGAATGAGCATTGGGTCAAAAACAAAACTAAGACGGAAATTTAAAAATTCTTCAAACTGAATGACAATAATGACACAACCTATCAAAACTTCTGGGATACAGCAAAGGTGGTGCTAAGAGGAAAGTTCATAGCCCTAAATTCTTGTATCAAAAAGACCAAAAGAGCACAAACTGACTTTCTAAGATCACACTTCAAGGAACTAGAGAAACGAGAACAAACCAAACCCAAACCCAGCAGAAGAAAGGAAATAACAAAGACCAGAGCAGAATTAAATAATACAAAAAAATACAAAAATAAATGAAACAAAAAGCTGGTTCTTTGTAAAGATGTATAAAATTGATAGGCCATTAGCAAGATTAACCAAGAAAATAAAAGAGAAAATCCAAATATCCCCATTAAGAAATGAAACAAGAGAGATTATAGCTGACAATACAAAAGATTGTTCAAGGCTACTGAGAACACCTTTATGCACATAAACTAGAAATCCAGAACAAGTGGATAAATTCCTGTAAAAATACAACCCTCCTGGCTTAAATCAGGAAGAATTAGATACCCTGAACAGACCAATAACAAGCAACGAGATTCAAATGGTAATTTTAAAATTACCAACAAAAAGAAGTCCAGGACCAGATGGATGCACAGCAGAATTCTACCAGATAGTCAAAGAAGAATTGGTATCAATCTTTTTGACCCTATTTCACAAGATAGAGAAAGAAGGAACCCTCCTTAATTCATTCTATGAAGCCAGTATCACCCTAATACTAAAACCAGGAAAGGACATAACCAAAAATGAAAACTACAGACCAATATCTGTGATGAACGTAGATGCTAAAATCCTTAACAAAATACTAGCTAACTGAATCCAGCAACATATCCAAAAGATAATCCACCATGATCAATGTATACTTCTCAGGTAATGGGTGCACCAAAATCTCACAAATTATCACTAAAGAACTTACTCATATAATCAAATACTACTTGTACCCCAATAACTTATGAAAAAAAAATAAAGAAGGGAAAAATTAAAATTAAATAATAAAACATAAAATGAAAACAAAAACTTCAAGCTATTTTTTAAGAGATCAGTTTGTACTGCTTCCCCACTCTTTTGCTCCCACTTGCTAAACTCCCCCTATATATTCACTCATTTTATTCCCCTTTTATTTCACAAAGGTCTACATGTGCTTCCATAGCCTCTCCAATGAGCTTAACTTCAAAGGAAAGGAAGGATTTTGTCACTGCTTTCAGTCAGCATATCTTATAAAAAGCAGATTCACTTAAATATAATGTTTACACAACCTTTAAAATTCTCAAGAAAATTCAGGCTTCAATTTACTCAGGACTGAGATTTTGATATGCAGGAATGAACCTAGCATACTTCAAAAATTGAAAAAAATATGTTGTCACTACAGTGTTGTTCCAACATTTTACATAAAGTTAACAAAAAACTTAGTATGCATTTCATAGGGTCCTCTTCTTTGGGGTAGGCTGGACTCTATGAAAACAAGACATACAGCTTATAGATCACATGTCCATATAGGTATTGAGACTGTGAAAAACAAACATATATATGAATTTTTGTTTGAATTGATTTTTGCACTTCAGAAAAATCTCCAAGGCTGAGTGTCCTCTGGTTTTATGGTAAAAACATCACAGAGTCATATATATCACAAAGAAGCATGAGCAAAAGTGATCTGGATCTATAGGTAGTTCTATGATAACCAGAGAAGTACACTTCAAGCTTCAAACCACTGGAAACTGACAAATAATAAATTGTATTTGATTTGGTTAAAAAATAAATAAATAAATATTGGATACAAAAAAAAAGCTGTGGAGAGTTTTAAAGACATAACAGAGAAAGAACTAAAGGTGAGAATGTAATAGCTAGAGCAGGAGCTACAAATAGGATCAAAGAGGTGGGTGAATTGGGTCAACTAAGATGGTATCTCTAAGTCCGTAGGTTGGGAGAACTCAATATAGTAAATGAGTTATATCATTCCAGGGTTTCTTGGTACAGTCAGATCTGTGTCAATTGAAGGCAGCCAAGAAGGCCTGAGGAGTAAAATGATATCAAATTGCCATGCTATATGAATAATCAGATGATAGTTTGGATAGTTTAATCAAACATTTAGTTTGGTTAGCTTAATCAAACATTTATAAGCCTACCAAGTGTTTTGTGTTTTCCCAGGGCCCACAGCCCATACAAGAAAGGTAATGAAATACTCTCCATACTTTGCTACTGGCCTCCATCCAAATGACTGAGGAGTCTTAATGTTTACCAAGTGAATATTAAACCTGGGCTTCTCCTTGTTTTAGACATATTTTTTTCCTAATCCTATCACTGCATTGCTTTAGACAGCCTATAGAAGAAAAGCAATCACTGTACAACCACCACAAAGTACTCTGGGTAAATTGTCCTGGTGCCAGATCACTACGTAAATTTCAATAATGTAGGCCCTGCTTCTCTTCTCCCCTAAAGAGTCATAGTCCCTTCTTCTAAGTCAGGCAAGTACTAATGTCTTTCATGGACCTTCTTATCATGGCATATGTCTGAGAAAAGTTAGAATGTTACATTGGATAAAAACTCAGTTATGGAGTGGGCTGTAACTTCCCCCAAATTAGAAACACCATGTACATTCTGAAATGTATAATGAAATATATTATTAACTAACTTTCTCAACGAAGACTAGGAAGCTACTAACAGCTGCCCCTAGAATTCAAAATTATGAAAGAATTCATCTCATAAAATGGAAATTTTTCAAATAAATGCTTTAAATCATTTTACTTTGCTGTGCTCATGGCACTGCCCGTCAGAAATGAGTAATGGTAGACGTGATTTTAGAATAATGGAGGATGATCTCGTTTCCCTTTCCAAGACGCAAGATCTTTAGGCAAAGATTAGTCTTTGCTGACTGCCTGACTATTGTGCTACTGTCAAAGACAGAGTAAAATGAAGAAAGTAGTAAAATTCATGAATTCAAAATGTAACCAAGCACAATTTGCTTTTTTATTGTTCTGAGTTCTTTTATATAGCAAATATTTATTGAGTGCCTACTCTGCACCAAGAACTGGAAATACAGTGGTGAACAAAACAGGGTTCTATACCTCATGAATTTTTGTCTCTAAATGGAGTCAGCACAAATATGTAATTGTTTTAAGTGCAAAGAGAAAAAGTGGAAAAGGAGATTTATTTGTTCATGGCAGTTTTTCTTAACCAGACCGTAAGTTCAAAGAACAGGTATTTTGTCTTGTTCCCTTTTATATCATCAGTGCCTAGAACATAGTGGTTAGTCCCTCAATACATGTTTATTGAATGACAAAATGAATAAACAATCAATCAAACTATCTGTTGAGTAGAGGGAAACATTTCGTAGTGCTTGGATAAAACTACAAAATATTTACTTTTGTATTTTTAGTAGAGTCAGGGTTTCACCATGTTAGCCAGACTAGTCTCGAACACCTGATCTCAGGTGATCCGTCGCTTTGGCCTCCCAAAGTGCTGGGACTACAGGTGTGAGCTACCCCTCCTGGCCAACTACAAAATCTCGAGACCAACAAATGCTTCTCCATCAGTGAAATTTCTAAGACAGATGCTCAGTTTGGATTATTTCACTTAGTACCAAGAAATATGCCTGAGTCAAGTGCTTCAAATAAAGCAAGAGTCCTTTGTACTTCTGGAGAGCCTGAACCTATCCTTTTAGAGAGCTTGAACCTATTTTATTTTGGAAGC